TACCAAAAGTCCGAAAAAATCTAATCAGGGGAACATTGTTCATTATAAAGATATGTAATGGGTTAAAATCAAACGCTTTATTGCACAACTGCTCTGCTGGAAGCGTATAAATGCATGTTGTTGTCAAGTTGTTGCTAACGAAAAAATGTGAATTATAGGTTAATACGCCCGCACGCGATCCAAAGGCAGGGAACACATGGGTTTGTCGCATCAAAGGGATCTGTTGCCGAGTGATCTCCTTCTCAATAATACCTCCATGGTTATACATTACATAGAGCTTCTATGAGGCCCAAAACATGATTAGTGTTTCTCTAGCACTGACCTTTTTTCCAACGACCCTTGGTGAATGTGTATTATTTTAATACCTTAACTGTGGATTTTAGTCCAAGTTTGCCATTTTACTAGCCAATATGGGGGAAAGATATGGGTAGACATAAACTCTTGAATAAGGCCTACTGTATTGTAGGTCTAAAACTAAAAATAAATCTCTGCTGCTTAACTGGCCAACCATAATTTCCAGTTGTCTTATGGAAGACACAACTTTTTGTGTCTTATCAATATAGGTATTCTCTTTTAATTAACATGGTATTTGTGATAAGAATATTTGGCTACATGTAAAATGTGCTATAATAATGTACAGCAATTTACAACTGATTTTTTTTTTCAGGTTGCATGTTGTTTTCGGCCAAGTGGTTTCTGGTGAAGAGGTCGTGTCTACTGTAGAATCATTAAAGGTCGATGGCAATTCCAAGCCAGTAGCAGATGTCAGAATCTCAAGCTGTGGAGAGTTGGTCTTGCGACTGAAAACAAAAGGTAAGAAAGAGAGTACAATTTACATATTCAGAAGAGGCATTTGTCATCTCTGCAGAATTATATTGTATGGCAGCCATTCTCTATGGTACCTTCCTACTCGATCCTACGTTCTCTAGATAGAATTTTGTGAAATGCTAAGACAGTGTATAACACATAAGAGCAACTCAATACACATGACCATCTCAAAACCAACATCATTGACTAAAAAATAAAAAATTGACATTGACTTGAAAATATTCTTATTCTGCATATTATAAGCTTTAAAATGATGGGTCTTTTACTAGAATCAACTTACTATGCTAAATTTATGAGTAAAAGTATTATGCTTCTCTGTACTAAAAGCTTAACAGGGAGAAAATATATTTTGTCAATGAGTATAAAATACTGCTACATTCTTAAGCTAACAACTCAGTTTAACAGTCAGTGACAGTATGCTGATTTTGTGATGGCAAGCCTCGTTTTATAGTATCTGTTTATATGTTTTATCAGTAATACTTCCACATAACTTTTCTTTATATAACTGTAGTATCCAAGAAGGCAAAGAAAAAGAAAGAAGCAGCAGAAAGCTCAGATTCAGAGGGATCTGCGGACTCTGTAAATGAGGAGAAAAAGAACAAGAAAAGAAAGAAAAAGCAAAAGAAAACTAAGAAATCAAAGAAGAAATCCAAGAAAGAAGAGTAAGTTCAGATGTAGATTTTGATAGTTTTGTTAATGCAACTAGATTATGTGATAATTATTTTTAGCATGTGGTAAAATTGTATAATGCATGTTAAAATGTAAACAGTTAGACCTTTCAATATTTGTGATTACTTGCAACAAAGAGCATCGTCTTACTCTTATTACACTCTAAAAATTAAGTTATTTTACTAAACAAAGGTTTTATGATACAATGATAAATTATCTGGATTTTTTTTTACTCTGTTGTTTGAAAACAGGGAACCAGTTGTGAAGCAAGAGGTGATAGAGAGCGAGTTTGTCTCATCCATCAAAGCAGCTGAGATTCCTGAAGTCCCCTCCAACAAGTTCCTTTTGCGTAGATCACCTGTCAAAGATGAAAAAAAACAGTAGGAATGATTTCACAATATTACACATACAATCCATTGCACACAGCTCTGTCAATATCATGAATGGTATATTCCATAATTTTATTCCTGTGGGTTATGGTACCTGTAGTTTATGTGATTTAATCAAATACCATGAAATTTCATGTTTGTCATCGGGTTCATTGTCAAAATAAAAATAATTTTATTAAATCGATGATAGAAATAAAATGATAGCTTTCTATGATTAAATGACATAAATCATTCCAAAAAAGGGGAAAAAATCATAGAAAAGAAAGAAAGAAAAGAATCAGGTTTGTAGAAATATAGATTATGATAATAACAAAATTGAGTTCACTTCATTGGTTTTGTTATTGTAAACATATTATCTTTAAAGATAAAAATGATTATTGTAATGAGTTATAGCCCGAGGAATAAATGATCTACCAGTTATGCCACTCTGTTTTGGACCTGTTGTGTGACTGACTCATTATGATTGGACAGGATGTCTCCTGTGTTCCATCACAATGTGATATTAATAGCAGATTGTGGTAGACTCACTCTGCTAACTAAAACTGATGATCCTCTCAACTTTTCTTATAAAAGTATCTAGCCTTCCCTATTCTGATGTAAAATCCCCTCCCAGCCAGCCAAACAAATATTCATCACCGCACATATCACAGACTTACAGTGTAAACAAATAGAAAGTATTTCATTTCAAATTAATTTTTTCGGAGGCATTACTTGTTTTTTTCTTTTCATTCAAGGATGCCTCATCTTATTTTATCTGTACCGTTTTTTTTTCCTGTCTTACCTTTAATTTATTTGCCAAACTTTCTGTCTTCATTTAAAGAAATGGAGTAAAAAATGTCGCTGGGATTAGACGTGGATTAACTATGGATTCTCGTGTGCAGATCTCGCGTTCTGGTCGTAAAATTAGAGGAAGGGGTACATTGGTAAGTGCATCATTTATGAATTTTTTTGCTAGACCACTATGCATATGCTAGTGGCTAGAGTTTTATGCAATTCCAGAAAAGCAGTGCATACTCCAATGGTAAATTATATTTAATATAATTGGGCAAATTTGATTTTCCTTGATGCAATATTCATTTCATATTATGTACTGTATATCATGGCGGTACAGCATACCCCCATGTTTATGTTAACTGCAGGAACTTTAGGAATTTTGTATTTTAAACTGTAGCGATACAGGACGCCATCTCGCTCACGCTCAAGAAGCACCACACCGCCCCACTGGCGCAGGGAGAACCAGCGCCTTGAGACTCAAAGAATGCAAAATGCAGGTCCTAACAGATGGCAGAGGGGTGACTTTGAGGAGCGTCAAATGGGCAGGCGACAACAGCGGGAGAGACCATCACCTGATAAATGGGAAACAGGAAAAATTATGGAAGACCCAGAAGAGAAAAGGTAGAGAATTATCATCTTTTCATGTGTTTATGTAAATGACTTAACTTTTAAAGTGTTTTTATTTTTGTCATCATTATTTTTATGGTCGAAAGAAGGGAATCATTTTGTAATCATTAATTTATTATCATTATATTACTGTATTGGGTAGTTTTTGTAATATTGATTCAACTTGCTCTACTCAATTTAGTGTTTCTTACAGTTTTCAACCTCCTCTATATTGTGGAGGAGTGTTTTTATCTGTTTGCAACCTCCTCTACTCTACAGGGAGTGTTTTTAGCATAGTTTGCAACATTTACTCCTCAAGGATTTTTCTTTGCACAGCTTGCAACCTCTTCTATTTCACAGGGAGTGTTTTCAGCTTAGTTTGCAACCTCCTCTACTCCATAGGGAGTGTTTTTAGCTTAGTTTGCAACCTCCTCTACTCCACAGGGAGTGTTTTTAGCTTAGTTTGCAACCTCTTCGACTCCAGGGAGTGTTTTTAGCTTAGTTTGCAAGCTCCTCTACTCCACAGTGAGTGTTTTTAGCAGAGTTTGCATCCTCCTCTACTCCACAGTGAGTGTTTTTAGCATAGTTTGCAACCTCCTCTACTCCACAGTGAGTGTTTTTAGCATCATTTGCAACTCTACCCCACAGGGAGTGTTTTTAGCATAGTTCGCAACCTTCTCTATACTATTCTCTAGAAAATATTTCTTGCATATAATGCATGAGTACCAATCTGGATGAATATTTCTTGCATAGTCTGTCCCTTTTTCTCGACTTCATGTGGACATTGCATAGTGCATTTGTCCCGTTCCCCCCCCCCCCCCAATTCTTTGGGTAGTGTTCATAGCATAGTATTTTGTAGGAAATAAAATATATAAAAATATCTTCTTCAGAGAAAGGCGGGAAAGGTTACGACAAGAGAGAAATAAAAGTGAAGTAAATAAAGACAAGAACCAAAGGCAAGAAAAAAGACGAGATGAGGAGAGGTAGGTTGCAATATATATCTTCATGTTGTAGTGATTGGTTAGTTTCTTTGTGTTTTAATTACACCACCATTTCAATTTCAACTGACTTAGATCCATCATTTGTTTCAGGCTTAAAAAGAGATCTAAGGATGAAAAGGAGGAAAAGGAAAAGTCTCCAGAAAGGTCACGTAGAAAAAGAGAAATATCTCCAATTATAGTATCAGTGTCTAATGAAAGAGCGCAAAGAGTGCGTGAAAAATCTCCAGATAAATCCAAGGAAAGAAGATCTCTGCAATCCCCCACGAGGACAAGTGAACGAACCAAGCACAGGTCACAAACTCAGTCCAAAGTTCAGAATTCAGGATCGCCAAACAGGGCAAGAGAGGATAGAACTAGGCGTAGATCACCTGTCGTGTCAAAGAATAGGGTTAGTCAGAGATCCCCTAATAGAACCGTAGAGAGGGTACACCGAAGGTCACCTGACACGTCAGAAGGAAGGCCACTAGTGTCACGTGACAGAGAAAGTCGGAGATCACCAGGTGTGTCAAAGGACAGGAGGAGAGAAACATCATCATCAGTGGAGAGAACCAACCAAAGATCCCCAGTCAGATCAAGAGAACGCCAAAACTCGGTAGGCAGGTCAACAGGTAAGCGTGATAAGTCGCAAAATAGTCGAGAAGCAGCAAGTTCTAAAAGTAAGGCAATGTCTCCAAAACAAGTTCATTCACCAAGGAGAGGAAGGTCACCTGTTAGATCTCGAGGCAGAGGTCGTATGCAGTCACCAGCAAGGTCTAGTCGCAAGTCTATGGAAAAGAATGATAGTAGAGAACGGAAGGCTAGGAATGATAAATCACCAATGCCCCAAAAACAAAGGTATTAACTAAGTATAATTTTTATATCCATTTTACGTTTCCTATAGCTTATATTCTAATAAACATGATAATTTATTCTAGAGGTGTACCTTATTAAAAATCGCATGGGATTTTGTTTTTCATAGGATTGATGAACAGAGAGGGAGGTCTAGATCTGTAAGTCCAGTCCTTCGTAGATCAGGATCATCTAGGTAAAGATTTTAGGAAACAGAATACCAAAATTAATGGTTAATGATTAATAAAATGGATAATGTTTTTGTTTTTTTTTTTTTTCATTTTTGTGCTGTTTACTTTCTCAAGCACTTTGTATTTCTTCAAAATGGATGTCAAGCACTATATAAATGTATATTATATTATGTATATGTACTGTATATTATGTATTTTTAATGTAGTATCATATTTGCAGTAATGTAAGTAACTGTAATTGCAGTTATAACCCTTTTTTTGTGTTCAGTTCCAGTAGTAGTTCTTCTGTAGAACCTATTCCATCTGATGTCAGAAAGCCTAGAAAATCGTCAAGACCCAGTTCTTCTCCTGAACCAGCAAAGCTATCTAGAAGTCAGAACATAAAAGAACAAGACACCAAAAGCCAAGAAAGTTCGGATCAAGGATTGAAGCTCTTTGATGATGGCAGATGCGAGTCTGACCTTGAGGCTAGAAGAGAAGAGGAAGAAGACCCATACTCAATGGAAGCCAGAAGGAAGCACCAGCTTGCAAAAGAAAAGAGTAAGCCTTCCACATCAGTAAAGGAAGCTTTCCAGTGGAAACCACCTGTTGAAGAAACTGATGAAGAAGACAGAGGCCCAGCCAGTGCTGATGAGAAAACGAGCTCACCAGAAGTGATACGAGAAGAGGAAGACCTACTGGAGAGAGTTGAAAAAGCAAAGGAAGTGTTTAAGGAATTAGAGGAGCAAGAGAGAAAGGGGCAAGAACGACATGTAGAAATGGTTACAATAGAACCATCCCTTGCCTTAAAATATGGATGTAAAGTGGTAGAAAAAGATTCAATAAGGCATGTCCACCCTCTGTTACAATTGTCTTCTCCATCGAACTTCATTAAACTGGTAGAAAAGAAACCAAGGATGGATGAGGAATCAAAGGTGCCATCAAATAATAGTTCCTTACTCTCACCACAGAAGTTACCTCAGATCAAGGTAACACCAAAAGTTGATGAGGAAAGAGAACATAGAAAGAAAGCTCCAAGTAGACGTTCAAGGTGAGACTCAAATAATAATAATCCACTAACTCTGATTCAACCAATTATCCTTTTTTTATATTTTATTTTATTTATTTATTCTTTACCCTGGGTAGCCTAATCAGTGTAAAAGCATTGTTATGCTCCATGGCCAAGCAACAGATACAATAAAGTAGTCAAATGGCAAAAATTAAGATAAACGTTCAATCAATAAAGGTTATAGAAATCTAAAATGCAAAAAGGATAAATTCATGATAATAATAATAATATCAATAAAAATAAAAGTAATAATAACAATAATAATTGTTGATATAGCAATTTCCTTGCAGTTTAAAATTGCAAACTACTCTTGTAGAAGTTTTCCTGAGCAAAACCCACACAAACCAATATCTTGCTTTATTTTTTTTTTTGTTTAATATTTTTTTTTTTTTCTCTGCTTTTTTGTAACTGCTAATATGATCATCTTCTAAAAAATAAACTTCACTAAATGTGTAAAAAGTCTTGCCTAACCTATGTATGGGGAAATGTTACCTCTTAGAAAGATACAGAGCAGAATGGCACAGGTGCTAATCACTGTGTGTACATTGAACCATGGAGATCTTAGTATCCTTGGTACAAAATTAGTGCCGGGTCCTGGTGACCTGCCCTAGCCACAGTGCAGCGTCATGCCTCCTGATGAATTGGGCAGTACACCGACTGTGTGTTCTTTAACAAGTTCATAGGCCATGTGTACGTGAGAATAATGTATTAAATGTCTTTTCCAAAAGAGAATTCTCTTATAACATGAATTCCACATGTATAGCAGCTTGCATAGCAATTGGTCATCTATAACTGTTTCTCTTTCTCTTTACAGGGATTCCTCTGAAAGTTCATCTTCTTCAAGGGAGCGAAGCAGTACTCGACACCGCCGGCAACGAAGTTACAGTTCAAGTTCCGATGATGATAGAAGGCGACGGTACGTACTATTAAGTAAATGTAATGTACACTAAAGTGACACTGCAAGTGGAGTGAAAAAAAACCGAACGATTAAAGGGATGGAAACATGTTAGGTGTTGTTAATGCCTAGGCAGTGTGAGAACTTTTGTTTGATTTGGTTACTCTACATTGTTGGCTGCTTGTTGAAAGTTGCATTGGTTTCAAGTGTATGGTTTAAATTGCAATACATTTAAATAGATATTTAACACATGAGTAGCTATGGCCCTCCGCACAGCTGTGTAACATCTCTTAAAATACAATATCTAGATTGTCACCAAAAGGCAGACGGTCACCACCTCGTCGCAGGACGCCACCTCGTCGCAGATCACCACCTCGGCGTAGATCTCCACCTAGACGTAGATCTCCACCTAGGCGTAGAAGCCGGAGCCCAGTAAGACGGAGAACACCTGTACGAAGGTCTCGAAGCCGATCACGCAGCAGAGGTGGACGAGACAGAAGAAGGTTATTTTCCAATTTATTATTATTAAAATGAATACGGGGGGGGGGGGGTGGAACGATGTGATTGTAGCCCCCTAAATTTTATTTTAAAAAAATAATTGTATTGTAATTTTGATATATTATTGTTATCATTGAAAATATAGCACCAGTAATTTCAATGCATCTTGAGGTATATTTTCTCAAAATTTTCTCACCACAGCCCTAACCATGGTGGGGCTGAGGTGGTGTGGATTCTTACGCACCCCCTACCGACAAATCCTGCATCCGCCCTAGGTACATGTGTATATAATGATTAATGTACTGTAAGAAGCCCTCTATGATTATCCTTAACTGAAAGAGCTACCCTGTTATATAGAAAATTCAACATTTTAAACAAAATTAAATATACTTAATGCAAAGAATTTTAGAGACTAAATATTAGTAAAAAATTAAGGATGGCATTATTGTATTGTAGATCACCAAGGAGAAGGTCAAGATCACCGTATAGAGGGCGCCGTTCCCCATCACCACGCCGTTCATACAGGTTAGACAATATCCTGGCATATACCTTTTGATTTGCATTTACTTTATTTAGAATATAATAGGATTGTTTAGAACTATTGATAGACTTGGTTTATCTAAGTTATCAGATATTTTACTGCACCTTTTGCCAAGGAGTACAAGATTCTTGCATTGCAATGTTTACATTTTTTTAACTTTGTTTTTGGTTCTATAAATTATCAAACCACCTATCTCTACCTTTACCTTTACCTTTCAATGTACAGTGGTGGTTCTGCAGCAACCACTCCTTTATATGCAGTGAAGAAGTTTCTAAGGCAAGACTCATTTTAATCCTTGTTTCACGTACAGTACTTATTTTTTTGAAGATCATCAGATGAGGGCAGAATAGAAATAAAAATAAAATTTTGTTTTCCTTCTTAGCAAATAGTTTTGCCACAAACATCCAGACGGAGGAGAAAATAAAAATAAAATGTGATTGGTGAATGTAAAATAGGATGGTTAAATGCTTCAAATTTATATAATTATGAAAAAATATACATATCTTATCTTTGGAGATTTCAAGGCAGCAGTGGGCATAATAAAATTAAAGTACGCTAATTGGCCAAAAATAAAATTTTGTTTTTATTTGAAATCATCAATATTTAAAGTCGGCGGGTTCACCAAACAAGGTATAAAAATGTCTCGCCTAAAGAGTAAAATAAAAAGATGTAAATGTTTTTAAGTAAGTTTAGCTGAGGAATTTGTTATTTTGATTCTTTCTTTAAAATTGTAAAATACTAAACTATTTAACACCATCACAATTTAGCAGGCAGTCAAATTTGGTGTATTTATTTTTTATCTCATGGGACATGGGATAAAACCAATTAAACATTATAAAGCTTTATTTTAAATGATTTTATTATTTAATGATGCTGTACATACTATTAAAAAAATTGTTACGGCTGATTTACAAATTTTTTTCAAGAGCGTCCATGTATTCATCCACACTTAAATACGGTGCAAGCGCAAGTTATTATATTGGGTTTTTTGGAAGAGCTAATAAGATAGAAATTTTTAAATAGTTAGGATGTTTATTTGTACAAAATAAAAATATCTTAAAATTGAAAAAAATAAAATTAAAAAAATTGAATGCCAAGACGTAATTCAAACTCACAACCTTAAGTTCTTTAGAACACATCCTTAACTGACCGCGCCATCCTTGTGATGTGCCTTATTAGTGTAATGGCAGTAATATACAGTCCTTGCTGAAAAACCTATCTTGTTTTGTAGGGGAACCTTGGGGTCCAATTTTAAAAAAAGGAAATGAACATTTGTTAGAAATCGCCTCTATTTTATTTGTCCGTTCAAAACTGGCAACGCTGGATGCTTTTAAAGTTCGGTTTTGGTAACAAGAACAAGAATAGCAGTGACAGTGGGGTCAGTGCCTTGTGCGGACCTAAAAATCCTTGAATGGATTACCACAATGATATACGAAATGTATTATTATATACAACTCTTAATTGGTGTAAAAAAAAATATCTCAATTTTATAAAATTTTCATTTTTTAGATCCACAGAGTCAGTTTGTGTTACATTATCATGTAAATATTTATTCTTCATACCTTTATTGTAGAAGAAGTCGATCTCGAAGCCGGAGCAGAACACCACCACGCCGCAGAAGGAACGAAAGTCCACCAAGAGGTCGTGGTCGTCGACGCTCAACCTCTTCATCATCGAGAAGTTCTTCTAGTGGTAGCTCGCGTAGACGGTCGTACAGTAGCAGGTCTCGCTCACGTAGCACTAGCACCAGCAGCAGTGATTAGTCACTCACAAAAATATTTTTATGTCCGTCACATTCCTCTTTGCTCTATAGACATAATTAAATAAATTGTTTGCAAGATTTGGCGTGGTATTGAAATTGATGATTTTAAATCAAAGCCAGAGTCACTTCAGTTTTACAATCCTTGTAATGCCAAACCAAGTAAGCCTATAAGCTAAATGTATTTTGACAGAAAGGGGTTGATGATTAAAGCCAGAAACCAAATCAAACATAAATTTGTTCAAATATTGTAAAGTCATCAAACCAGTAGATTTCCAAAAAATGTTTTGGTGTTGTTGCTTTAAAATGATCTTAAAACACTGCAAAAAGGTGGATTTGGATTAATAGTTTGTCAAGATCTTTTCCAGTATTACCGTTTGCAGTATTTATTTCCCCTCTAATATTCTGAAATAAATATCAGTAACAGTTAAATATTTTAGTTGAATTGGGATAAAAAAAAATGTATCGTCTATTTATACAAGGCATGACCATGGAAGAATTAGCTTTGATATAATAATCGGTGCTTGATTATTTACAATTTGGATATATAGTATTTGATGAACTTGTATATCTAATCACATGTCTTAAACTTACTATTACTGTATAGGACTGTTATATATGGCCAAAGCAGAAATTATGTAAATTTGTCCTGTTTATTAAATTTGTAGGTTTGAATGAAGGGTGTATCCAGCATTTAATAAATGGGATAGCTGGGTAGCATGGTTATGGTAGCATGGTTTTATGATTTGCTGCTGGGAAGTACTGAAACATTTATATTGATCCAGTTTGTGTTCAATGTTATTTTGTGAACTATGTGAAATTCTTGTTCTTGCCAAACATATTGTTAACCAACATGATCCTTAATCACTCCCTGCCCTACAGTAAAATTTATTCTCGTTCCAAAGCATTAAACCGTTTGCCTTACGATCTACTGTTGTATTTTAGGTTAGCTTGCATTTAACCAAATTCATCTGTTGTATCGTGGCGCAATAAATTTATGTGATACAGTAAGTTTGGAAGATGCTGATATTTAATTGTAAAGTTTTTGGCAAGGATGGTTGGTTTTGGGTGTGGGATGCATTGTCCTACAATCAACATTTGTAGGCTAGAAAATTTGTAGGACAGATTTTTGATATGACAATTTGTATCAAACCTTCTGAACTGTGGTCAAGCTGGGAATTCTTGTTTGTTTTGTTTTTTTTAATTACAGTATAAGATGTAAATTTTTGTTGTGATGGATTTATAAGAGTAGAAAAAAAGAACAAATTCCAACTAATGATCATTGAAGCTTTTTACTGTGATAAAAGCATAGATACATCTAGTCCTGCTTTTGCAAGCTAAAATGTGCACCATACATAAATTATGTGATCTGATAAAGATCCACACTGTTTAATACTGATTTCAGTATTGTCATCTCTGGTATAGGTATGTCTGTCACTGGTAGCAATGTAGTAAATGTCATTGATATTGGTAGGTCTGTTTCCGATATCAGTATCTCTGTCATCGTTATTGGGTGTCTCAGTCACTGGTAGTGGTAAGAAAAAACACAATATTGAAGGGTCGTCTCTGGTGCCTATTGTTGGAAAGCATAAATACCAATCAGTTGCTCTGAACACTTTTTAACCTTTTTTATTACTTTTAATTGGAAATAAATGTTCTTACAAAAAAAACTGCCTTCCTTGTGTTGTGGTTGTCCAAACTTAACTACTAACTTATGACAAGAGTAATAACCATGTGTTATTGTCATCATAATTTGTCAGTATTATATATGAAATTAATTAAATTAAAGGTCTCTGTGTGCTTCACATTAAATCTCTGATCATTGGCTCTTGGCACCCTGTGGCAGAATTAATCAATAGTGTATTTTGCAGCATAGTAAATCGTTGGCATTTCAACCTACTAGGTATCCACACTACACCATGGTGAAAAGACTATGTAAAATGCTTTGCCCAAGGACACAAACAATTTTATGGGTTGGTAGTAATGATTGTACTGTAATCTTCAGTCTAAATATCATGTAATGCAGGTGTTATGTCAGATCCAGGATGTTTCTGATTTGTCTGAGGGGATGAGGGTTGTGGTGTTCCTGTACCTGTGGTGTCCAGGGGGGTTTTAACCATTTTGTATAATAGTTGTAAGGTATTCTGCTGCACCTTTTGACACGATTCTTGCATTGCAATTTTTTTTAACTTTGTTTTTGGTTCCATTAATCATCAAACCACCTACCTTTACCTTTACCATTCAATGTACAGTGGTGGTTGTAACCACATGCACTACAGCAGCCACTCCCTTATATGCAGTGAAGAATTTTCTAAAAGTAAAACAAATAAATATAAATGCTTAGCTGCGGAATTTATTACTTGATTCATTCTTTATTGTACTGAACTACAGTATTTAACACCATCACAATTTAGTAGGCAGTTAAATTTGGTGCATTTATTTTTTATCTCATGGGACAGGGGAAAACCAATTAAACATTTATTTAAAAAGATTTCTAATGAGGCTGTACATAGTATTAAAAAAATTGTTTTTAATATGAAAATCCTTAAATTGATTACCAGGAGTCTATGCCCAATGATATAGGAAATGCACTATTATGCAACTCTTAATCGGTGCACAAAACATTTTTTTTTTTTTATAAAATTTTCGTTTTTTAAATCCACACAGTATGTGTTAAACTATCATGTAATTACTTTTTCTCTATGTATTTTTATTGTAGAAGTCGATCTCGAAGTTGGAGCAGAGCATCCCCATGGGGCAGAAGGAACCAAAGTTCAACCTCTTCGTCTTCAAGAAGTTCTTCTAGTGGTAGCTCGCTTAGACGGTCGTATAGTAGCAGGTCACGCTCACGTAGCACTAGCACCAGCAGCAGTAGTGACTAGTCACTCACAAAAATGTTTATGTCCGTCTCATTCCTCCTTGCTCCATAGATGTAATTAATTGCATTGTTTGCAAGATTGGACGTGGTATTAAAAGTGATAATTTTAAATTGAAGCCAGAGTCCCTTCAGTTTTACAATCCCAGTATTGTCATGCCTAGTATGCCTGTAAGATAATTCCATTGTGACAGAAAGGGGATGATGATGATTGAAACCATAAAACAAATCAAACATTTATAAATTTGTCCAAATATGGTGAAGTGATCAAATCAGTAGATTTCCAAAAAGTTTCTTGGTGGTGTTGCTTTGGAATGATCTTAAAATGCTGCAAAAGGTGGATTTGGATTAAGAGTTTGTCAAGGTCTTTTCAGTATTACCATCTGCAGTATTTATCTCCCCTCTTATTCTGAAATAAGTAAGTTACAGTTAATCATTCTAGTTGAATTGGGATTTTAAAAAAATGTATTATCTGTTTAAACAAGGCATGATCATGGAAGAATTAATTTTAATATAATAGGTGCTTGATGATTTACAATTTGGATATAGTATTTGATGAACTTGTATATCCAATCACATGTACTGTTATATATGGTCAGAGCAGAAATTATGTAAATTTGTCCTGTTTACCAAATTTATATGTTGGAATTAAGCGTGTATCCAGCATCTTAAACATAGGATAGCGGAGTCTGTCTCTTATACACATCTAGATGTGTATAAGAGACAGATACTGGCCTGTGCGACAACTTAATCATTTTGCCACGACATGCCTCATATAGCTTTATTTAAAAAGATTTTATTATTTATTTCTAATGATGCTGTACATAGTATTTAAAAAATTGTTTTTAATATGAAAATCCTTAAATTGATCACCAGGAGTCTATGCCCAATGTTAAAGTAAATGCACTATTATGCAACTCTTAACTGGTGCACAAAATATATTTTTTTTATAAAATTTTCGTTTTTTAAATCCACACAGTATGTGTTAAAACTATCATGTAATTACTTTTTCTCTGTATATTTTTATTGTAGAAGTCGATCTCGAAGTTGGAGCAGAGCACCCCCATGGGGCAGAAGGAACCAAAGTTCAACCTCTTCGTCTTCAAGAAGTTCTTCTAGTGGTAGCTCGCTTAGACGGTCGTACAGTAGCAGGTCACGCTCACGTAGCACTAGCACCAGCAGAAGTAGTGACTAGTCACTCACAAAAATGTTTATGTCCGTCTCATTCCTCCTTGCTCCATAGATGTAATTACTGTAATTGCATTGTTTGCAAGATTGGACGTGGTATTAAAAGTGATGATTTTAAATTGAAGCCAGAGTCCCTTCAGTTTTACAATCCCAGTATTGTCATGCCCAGTATGCCTGTAAGATAATTCCATTGTGACAGAAAGGGGATGATGATGATTGATCTTAAAATGCTGCAAAAGGTGGATTTGGATTAAGAGTTTGTCAAATAAAGTAAGTTAGTTAATCATTATAGTTGAATTGGGATTTTAAAAAAATGTATTATCTATTTAAACAAAGCATGATCATGGAAGAATTAATTTTAATATAATAGGTGCTTGATGATTTATAATTGGGATATAGTATTTGATGAACTTGTATATCCAATCACATGTACTGTTATATATGGTCAGAGCAGAAATTATGTAAATTTGTCCTGTTTACCAAATTTATATGTTGGAATTAAGCGTGTATCCAGCATCTTAAACATAGGATAGCGGAGTAGCGTCGTTTTCCCATGGTTCGCTGTTGGGAACTACAGAAACGTGTAGTACATTGATCAACTTTATGTTTGATATTTTGTAAACTTTGCGAAATTCTTGTTCTTGCCAAGCATATTTTTAACCAAAACCATCACTTTCTGCCCTACAGTAAAGTTTATCCTCACTATTGTACCAAAGCATTAAACCGTTATTTGCTTTATGATTTACTGTTGTATTTTTGGTTAGCTTGCGTTTAACCAAATTCGTCCATTGTGTTGTGGTAAAGTTTTTGGCAAGGCATTTGTAGGACAGATTTTTGATATGACAATTTGTATCAAACTTTCTGAACTGTGTCAGTCACTTTGTATTCTGACAGATCAAGCTAAGAATGTTTTGCTTTTATAAAATTACAGTATAAGATGTAAATTTTTGTTATGATGGATTTATGAGAGTAGAAAAAAAAGAACCAATTCCAACTCCAACTAATGATTATTGAAGCTTTCATACTGTAGATACATCCATCTAGTCTTGCTTTCGCAAGCTAAAATGTGCACCATAATGATGTGATCAGATAAAGGTGCACACTGTTTAATGCTAGGCCTGTATGCAGGATTTTTATTGGGTGGGTGCGAATTTGTAGAGAGTGGACCAATGGCATCTGCCAGAGCTCAGGCATTTTTGATAATTTGAGGTCTTATTCAATCGATTCCTGAAGATGCATGTACGGTTTTCAGTGGCGGATCTAGGAATTTGAAGAGGGGCCAGGGAGGGCCTTTCACGATGGAGGAAACATCAACTCACCCCCACTATGGTTGGGGCTGAGGGAAGAAAATTTATGATTATAGCACCTTCAAATGGCCGTAAATTGCACACTCATACAATTTGAATATCATTTTCTTTTTTCCCCAATTTTTTTTTTTTATTTTTAAAAATTGAGGGGACAGGAATGACTGGGCTTCTTGAATCCCCACTGTCAGTGGTGGAGAGGGAAGGACTTTCACAGATTGAGGGTCTATAGCACCTCAGTCCCACTATGGTTGGGGCTGAGGTATGAAAATTTATGATTATGGCACTTCTAGATGGCACCTATCACACCTGGCACCTATCCCCCCCCCCCCCCCCCATATAGTAAATGTCATTGATATTGGTAGGTCTGTTTCTGTTATCAATATCTTTGTCATTGTTTTTCACTGTCTCAGTCACTGGCAGTGGTAGGAAAAAAACAGACACAATATTGAAGGGTCGTCTCTGGTGCCTATTGTTACAAAGCAGTCGCTTTAAACATTTTCTTAAACTTTTCTTATTAGTTTTAATTGGAAATAAATGTTCTTACAAAATAAATTGCCTTCCTTGTGTTGTGGTTGTCTGAACATATTTAATTTATGACAGGAGTAATAACCATGTATCATTGCAGCTTAGTAAATTGTTGACATTTTAGCCTACTAGGTGTCCATACTTACGGTTAAATCAGGGTGAAAAAGCCCATATGTACTGTAAAGTGCTTTGCCCAAGGACACGAACAATTTTATGGGTTGGCAGTAATGATTGTACTGTAAGGCCCCATAAAAAAAATTATTAGTTTATCATCCTATCAAGACATTGGTAGTCATTCATCATTCACCAGCCTTAAAATTTGTTTTTGACGAACAAACGATCGTTTTTTCAATGAAAAAAATCTAGTAAAAAAAAAAAAAAAATCATGATTTCGTCAAAAGAGATGCGCGCGGGGATGATAAACTAATCATTTTTTTTATGGGGCCTAATCTTCAGACCAAATATCATGCAATCCATGATTAAACTGCTTCTGGGGGAAGACCGACCTTTTCATTTCTCCCCCACCACTACCACTGTACGAAGATGGTCAAGGAACATGCTGGTACTACAGTAATTGGCTAAAAAGCTTCATTCCATTACTTGTGGAATTGCGGTCTACAACTTTTTTCACCAGCTGCTGTTATTTTTTTTATGTATTAACATGAAAAACAAAATCCAAATTTTATATTAACATACATTATCCATTTCCACATTCAAGTCAGGAATGCTCTGTTTTTAGTACTGTACATAAATCCATATACAGTACTTATAACATGCATGTGCTGTCTGTTGCATAGCCATTGACCATAAACATAACTGAAAACCAGCATCTCTTTTTTTCTCATTCTGTCTTTGGAATTTTCTCCACTGGCTGCAGACCCCGTATACTAATGTCGTAAACGACCTCTTCTACTTTTTTTATATCGTACTTCAAGCTGTCAAACTTTTTGCGTAGGCTGTCGTTTTTTAAGTTGAGCAACCTGAATCCAGTGTTCACTTCCCCTAAGAATGAAGATATCTTAAGAGGGCGCTCATAATCTCCAGCTGTGACACTGTTGACAGCAAGACGAGACTGAATGAAAGACAAATAAAACGTTCGTTATAGGCATGGGCAGAAAAAGGGTTATAAAAAATCAATGGCAAGGGTGCTAATTTTGACAGTTATAACAAGAAGGGAAATTAACATAATGCTGGTACCGTAATTGTAAAAATTATGATAATTATTTTATAAAGTGCGGCATAAATTCCTGTATTATTATAAAAGAATAAAAGCAATTGAAAATGGTAGAATATATTAAGTTCAGAAAATACATAGCAACAACAGAATATGTCGTAAACAAATTTATTGAGATACTTGTCGAAATATGAAAGCTGTGTGCGAAACTTTTATACCTTGTTGCCCGCAAATAATGAAGATTTCAAATAAAAATAAAATTTTGTTTTTGACCAATTAGCGTACCCGCCACCACGAAAAAATAGTTATTTCAGAAGAAAAATATAAGTTTTTCCTTATTTTTATTATGCCCTCCGCTGCCTTGAAATCTCCAAAAAGATATGTATATAAATTTATAGCATTTAACCGTCCCATTACTACACTGTTTACATTTACCAATAAAATTTTAATTTTATTTTCTCCTCCATCTGAATGTTTTTGACGAAACGATTTCCTAAATATGAAAGCAAAAACTTTAAATTTATTTTTTTCACCACCCTCCTCTGATGATCTTTAAACAAATAAGTTTGCGAAACAAGGACTATAAAAAGTCTGGCCTTACTAACTCTGTGTACTGCAAGATACAATTTAAAAGCTTCAATCAATAATTACCAGTTCGCTTGACAACATGAGCAGACCATGGAGATAGTCTTCCAGATCTAGTAGGAAACCATTCCCTCTTTGAACTTCAACTACAGTATCAAGAAGAAACAATAAAATGATAAACAGTGATGGATTCAAAAAGGGAGTACAGTACCTCCCACTGTTCTAAATTCCCCTTCCCCTTTCAGTGAGGTACACTCAGAACACCAACCTCCAAAAAGTTTAGCTGTTTCTTCTCTTGTAATTAACGTTTCTGTTTCCAAATATGTTGTCAGCGCAGAAAGGAAAATAAGACGTTGAGTAACAAAACGCCAATGGTCGTGGAATCTACAGACAAATTGAAAATATTACTTCAGAATAATCTAAACAAAGGGCATGGTCCCTGGCTCTCTATCTGCTCTTCAGATGGGACTTCAGGCCGTTCCTCATTACATAACATCATGTCTGTTATAGTGTCTGTTTATATATTGTCTGATAATTGGCAGATAAGTAAATAGTTTACAGTGGCATGGCAATCCTTAAACAATGTCATGTGCTTAGGTAATATCTAATAACATCTATGAAGTACATTACTTGTAGTAGTTTTCAATTGGAAACTTTCCAGCAAGATCTGCATAAGAAGACTTCACACTTTCAAATTTTTCTCTGCTCTTCCCGCAGATTGCTGGAACTTGAAAAGAGAAACACTGACTTAATTAAAAATGCCTACTACATTAACATACAGTAGTTCCTCAAATATTTGGTTTTGGTCTTCTCACGATTTAAAGAAAAAGTAGACCTACTTTGTTTCAATCCATCTCTTTGGTGAATCGATTGCAGTAATGTCATGATCTCCCTAGCTGTTTGTTCAAGAACACGAACTGAAATTCTGATTTCCTGAAACAAATTGGTGGGGTGAATATAAAAAAGAAGAATCAGCATATTAAATTTAGAAATTCTTCCGTATGTTTTTTGACTGATTTCAGTAATAATACATGGATGGGGTATTTGTGGAGAAAATTGCTGGAAAGTATGTGTAAAATCATTAATTAATAACAGATTAACTGCACCCCCATGGTATCATGGATCAGTTTTTATCCATTGCCATGTTCAACAATGAGGATTAAAAAATTACAAAAAAAAATATATATAAAATAAAATTACAGAACAGAAAGGAAGAAAGTAAACTCTTGGACGGACGAAACGAACAAGGCATTGACAAGGGGAATGGTCTAGTAGGGTAGAGACCAATAAATTAAGGGACAAAACGACTTAATAACTGTTCCAACTGTTGTAAATCAATGCACAGCCAATATAGGCCTAGCTAAGCCTAGGCCTTCCCCTGGTCGTAGAAAAGAAGAAAGGGCGCCTTCCCCGACCACCTGTGTCTCGGTAGCTAAACAGGCTAAAGGCCTATCTAGGCAAGAAGGCCTCCCTCTTTACCCGTACCGGCCTAGCTAGACGTTTTTCACAATATTATATTATTATAGTTTAAGCTATAAATATTTTACCTCACGGATATCATGGTCTGTTGTAAGATAATCGTTAAAACTACTGAAGATTTCTTGCACTGATGACATTGTTGTTGTTGTTAGCCAATACAACATGAGCAGGAACACACGTGTGTGGAGCTGATGAACTTTGTTCTTTGCCATATGAACTCGTTACCCTGACAGAGAGACGCTCGTCGACTGCATAACGACATAGGGCCCAAGGGTAGCTTGGCTCAGAAAAAGTAAGGTTTAACTGTATAAATCAACAAAATGAATCATCAAGTCAACTCTAGATCCAATCAGGTAGTTGTTTTCAAACTGGAAAAGTATAATTAAACAGTAAAAATTATTATAAATTGACCTTAGGCCATGCCAGGCCTATCTATTGACTTCTGGCTCTGCCTAGCCTAGTGTAAATCTCTCTGTCCGGGGCAGATGATTCCATCAGCTGGTCCTAAATCTGACAGGAACAACGGGGTGGGCCTAGCCCATGCTAGCCCAAGTTTTATGGTTATCAGGAATTTGTATCTGTGAACCAGCAAAATATACAAAATCTAAGAACAAATTTAAAAGATATTATACCAGCCCCTATAAGGATTTAAAAATGTAAGACTGAAAAAAATCCAATAAATTAAAACAAGCTGTGTGGCTGGGCTAATAATTAGGCCTATACCAGTCTAATCAAATTCCTAGTTCTAGTATAGGATTAGTCCCTAGGAGGAATCCAATCCATGCATTTGGAACATATATCAGAACAAACATAGATAGAATCAATATAAACGAAACATAGAATCAATTATTATGAACTTATTATTTTTTCCTCTTTCTACTTACGACTAATCATCAGTGGATCTTTTGCTTTATGTTGTATATTTCTAAAATAATAATTCTAGGCTACTGGAAACATTGCTTTGGCTGCTGTTGCTTTTCAAGATCACATGACCAGAGGCCTTTCTCTTGTTGACCCTTTAAAAAAGAAACAAATTCATTTTGCGACACCAAAAAAAAAATTGAAGGATGTGAAGTCAACCATTGATACAGGGAAAAGGAAGAAGGAAAAAGTCAAGAAAGATGAAGCAGCTATGGATAGAGAGTATGTGATAGACTCAAGTAAGCAGACATTAAGCTTGGGTAAGATAAGAAGGGGTTTTATTGTTATAGTATTAGCATTGTTAATGCATAATTTTTCCAAAAAATAACTCCCCACATGTGCCTAAATATTGACTAGATATGAATAATAAATCAATAAACAAGTAAGTTTGGTCAACCTCAGTGGCATTATTCTCGGGAGGTGATGCTTGCCACTTAACGTTGTGTGGTATACTCTATTAATAGAGGTTATGCTCAGTACCAGAATATAATGATGAGGGTTGAGCATCATGGCCTTCTGAGCCTTAGGAGCAGTGGCGTATCTAGGGGTGAACCCCAAAAAGAATACAAGCGCTTCCCCCTTCAGTTTCCCCCTCCCCAAAAGTTGCGCTCAAGTAGTTAAAAATCACCTTATTTTGCCCCTCACCTAATCTTCAAGCTCCCATGTTACCTTCAAACCCACCCACCCCGTCCCTCCGCCCTCATCATTGGCCCTCCCATTTCAAAACTGCTAGATACGCTACTGCTTAGGAGCCATTTTCACAAAATATACAATTTTTTTCTTATTTAAGAAATATTGGCGGCACAAAAGCATACCTTTTTCAAAAAAAAAAGAAAACCTACCAAAAATAGTACTCGCAACCTCACCAACTACACAGGGGCCCAACATTTTCCATTCCCAAAGCCCCAACATTTGTGTGACACCACTCCCCAACCACCAGAGTAATTCTTTGGTAAAAATAGTGAGATTGGTCATTAGCCAATTGGAGAATTGTATCCTTTATATTGTAACCAATTATAAAAATTTTTTTTTAAATAGAATAATATTTTGGATCTACAGTAGTTACCTAAGTACAGTATGTTGTGTTTGCACCATCCATTAATGCATTCAAAAAGACTTTAATTCAGTTAAAATTAAACAGATATTTGGTTTAAAATGCAAGTAACCTATAAATTATCCATAAATATCTATTGTAATAATTCCAGGCCCATAAAATGTGATTGTATTTAACTGGTAACGTATCAAAACATAGATACAGTATATAGCCCTGGTCATAGTGATTGGTATTTTTACTGTAATTTATGTATTACTGCAATTTTTTATTAGACTTTTTCAATGAATACATAATCTTAATAAGTTATTATTGTTATTCTTATTGTATTTGATTATTATTATTATTATTATTCAATTTATTCATTTTCATTTACAATTAATCATTAATAATAAACTAAGGTATTTTAGGAAAACCAATAAAATTTGGATAAGTTTACCATTACAAATTTGTTGCTGTAAAATAAATTTAAAATTATCATTATTATTATTATTTGTTCATGCAAATGTACACAACACAAAACAAAATGACATTAGACAGAAGTTATTTGACGAATGTCAACAAAAATTCCAATGAATTAAATACTGATTGTTTCAATTTCCTTTATGTAATTATGCTCCAATTTAAAAGTGGGACATACACAGTAAGATAATGTCTGTCAGACCTAGACAGACAATCTTTTCTTAAGAATTACCATTGTTTACAAATAGGAACAATCGATCTCTAAATAGATCAATCAAACATAATGTCATTGAATTGTCTCCTCAACATCCTCAGCAACAACTACACACATACACATTCGATATGAAGGACTGCCTTTCTGTATTTTTGTGACCTATGCCAAAATTAATGTGAAGGAAAACAATGTATTACAGTATTTGTTTAGTGGTAAAATTTGCATTGTACCAAATTATCTAAATTGTGACCTAAAATAAAGTAGGATTATTAAATGTCAAGGATTTATTTATCATACTATTGCCAACACAAATTTTCTACATAATGCAACAATTTAAATGGTATTGTGGAGAGATGGTCCGTGTAATTTTGTACAAACCTTACATTTGGTAATATTATTGGGAGAAAATAGAGTATAGGTATATAATAGATTTAAAATTTGACTTATAAACTAACAAAATACTGTAGATTACTATACTGTACAAAGATATATTATCTCTCCCCAGCATCGATATTGATCTACCAGAAAATAATTTTTAATTGTTGTAAAGTTGTAAACCTATTTTGCCTGTCATTGAACACAATCAATCTTGTAGAGTTGTATTTGTAAAGTATAACAGTGGGCGGAAATAGAATATGATATTTTTTAATAGAAATTCAACCAAGCACAATGCATCATAAGAGAAGACACCAATTAAGTGTAAACCTCTGTAGTAAAATTAAATACTAACAAGTAACCTGATACTAATAGTTATTTCCATGATACCACACAATTATCTTCTACTTATAATACCGTAAAACCTCAAATGGAAGCCCTGAGCTTTTTTTTTTTTTCTACAAACTTTGGACGGGCTTGTTATCGAGATGTGCTTATGTATATATATCTGCACTGACAGACAAAGAGTGGAAAGAAGCAAAAATGAAGTCAAACAACAGAGATGACTCAACTCAGCCATGTGTCATCTGCAAGGAAGATTTTGGTCTTCAGGAGCAGGTTAGGAACCATATAATTTTTATTATTATTATTAAAAAGCATTTGAAATTTCTAACTTGTAATTAACTGTATATTATTCACTATACAAAACGCAACATTCTATTTATTTACAGATACTGGTATGTGTCATTTTTAAGCTAATTAACTTTAAAAACTGGAAAAAAAACCCAATCAATATTTCAGAATATGCTGCAGGACCAACATCCAACAAAAACAGATCATTACTTTATAGATAGTGTGTAGAGAGATGCTTTAGCATCATACATTACATTACATCTTTATTTTTCTTGTTTTGCAGGTTTTATTGTCTTGTACACATGTTTTTCACCGGGTAAGTTTCTAAAGAAGAACTTGAAAATTACTTTTTATTTTTATATTAAATTATATCTGCCAGCTATCAATGCTGAAAATACAAACTGAAGTAAAAAGTAGAAAACAGATTTCCAAAGGTTGGTTTTAATGCTATAGTTTTTTGTTTTTTCTCACAGGCTTGCCTAAAAGCATTTGAGAGGTTCACTGGTAAGAAGTCATGTCCGATGTGTCGCAGAGAACAATATCAGACAAGGGTCATTCACGAGGGCTCAAAACTACACCGGATTAAGTGTGTGGTCAGGTAAGATGATTTACTTGTTTTAACATAATTTCTATGTTTTATTTTACGTGTTTGTCTCCATTTTATTAATCTTATCTCTGGTCGTTAATTGTTGATTTTATCATATGATGCTTCGTCAGTTTTAATTATCGTTCATTTTTACTTTCATCTGTATATGTATCCTGAATAAATATCTTGTAATAAACTTCACTCTTTAAAATCAGTTTAGTCTGTCAATCAATCAATCAACAAAGTCTCATGTGTAATTTAATACAGAATACAAGCATGTTGGAGAGGATATGTTGTCAGAAGTTGGTACAAGAACCTTCGTAAAACTGTCCCCCCAAGAGATCCAAAGCTGAGAAAGAAGTTTTATGAAGAGAAGGTTTGCATTTTTTTAGACTGAAGTATACAAAAATGCTATAATATGCAACCCAATTGAACTTTTATTTTAAGTTTGAAATAAATGTACCTTCCTGCAATTGTTATTGTCGATACTTAAGCAATATTTTGATTTGTAATACTTTACTTCTTAACTTGCAAAAAAGCAAAAACTGAGGCATAGCTCCCATCATCTTGCTTATCAATGTTAAAAGGTTTTATAGTGTGCTCTTGTTTTCCAGCTTGAATCAATCATTGACAGACTTTTGCGGTCCTATGACACCGGTGTGGATGACTTCTTGATGGAAATTGATCAATCTGTTGCAGCAAGTAGAAGCATCTTTCAACACCTTGATGCTTCAACATTACAATGCATATCCAATGGAGAGTGGGAGCTGATCCAAATGAAGGTATTGTTGAGGGCAGTAGTTTGGAGGTGGAGTGGGACTGTAGCTTGGTGGTTAAGATGTTCTTATTGTGGAAAGCAGCAGGTTGATGATACGTAGAGTTGTAGCTCAAGACAAGGGCGGATTTAGGGGGTGGGCGGCCTGGCCCCGGCCCCTCCCCCTCCCCCCTTTTGGGAGGTAAAGAAAAAGAAAAAAAATGATAGCCCAAAACGCCTCAAATGTTATTTTCGGGCGTCTAGAACACAAAAATTTTGAGGGGGGATGGTGTTGTTTCGTCGGCCCAACTTTCAGCCCCCCTTTTGGACATCTCTGGATCCGCCCCTGCAAGATGTTGTTATTGTAGAGGGAAGTGGTTTAGGAGTGAATTGGAATGTAACTTGATGTTATTATTAAGAGCCATGGTTGCAAGTACAGTAGAGTGGAGTATGACTTAGTGATTCAGTTCAGTTAATACTGAGGGCAGTGGTCAAGAATACATAACAAATTGATTGGATGATTATCATGCCATGGCTTTAATATTGAAACTGTGCTTTAGCTTAACACAAAATATGCCTCTATTTAAGTTTTAAAAATATATAATCTTTGATTTTCTGGTTTGACAGCAAAGTGTTCTCCAAATCAAGATCAAAAATAATTTTCATCATTTTTTGAGCTTTCTTGTTTTATTTGATTGTTTTAATTCATTGATTTAAATTTTGCCATGTATTTCAATTATTTAAACAAGATTAATTTCAATTTCAGGCCTTAAGACGGGGTGACACTGATTGTCCAATCTGCATCATGCCTTTAGACAGTTCACCAGATGAGTCTTCTCCCAGACTTCCTACCCCGAGTTCGCCACCAGAGGCTCAGTCCAAGCGTAAGAAGGTGCTTCTGTCCTGCACTCACATCTTCCACCATGTATGTTTATGTGCCTTTGAAGAGCTGTCATTCATTGAACGTAACGTCTGTCCGGTATGTCGATCAGGCTACCAAAAGCGTGTACTTTGAATTTAGAACCAACAGGTAATGTTGTTTGTAGTGTAACGTAGTACGTTCAGTAATGCATAGGACACCTTTACAAAAAGGATTAGAATCATGGAGATGCAAAACAGGAGACAAGATAAACATTCCAATTTTTTATGCTGCTGTCTGAATTACAACATATTTGAATATAGATGTGATGTCACAGTTAAAAGCATAACATTATCTAACCATTCTTTTGATGTGACCATCTCTAGTAAGCCTCACACTGAAATGCTATAAATAGCAACATGAGCATCGTTGATTTGCTGAGATTCAGTGTATTACGCGTACATACTGCAGGTCAGTTTGTAACACATTATTTGAAACAGTCATTGTATTTTTTAAGTACCTTGATAATTAACAGTAATGTATTAACATCCAAACAATTTCAGAAAGCCAAAAGATTTGTATAAATATTATGTATTAAATTGGTTAAATGTAATGAATCTTGACAAGTGTCTAATTGAATACTCTCTAGCACCAGTTAAGCGTTACACTAACATTATAAGCCAACGTGATAGACATGTTTTGACTTGTATTACATAATTAGCTGATTACACAAATTCAACATCATGTCATGACAATATTTGATTGAACAACAGTAAGATCTAGGACGTAATGGTGTCATGCATCCTCTGAAATCTTAGATATCGTTTTAAGTGAATTTATGTTGTGCAGATAACTAGAGTCCATCCTGTAGTCATTTCGTCGTGATTAAAATCTGCTTAGTAATAATACAGTAGTATACCAATAAACCACAGGATATACTATACATGTTTTTGCAGATTTTGCAAACACATCATTTCATTTACAATATTTACCAAACATCATTGTACAATGCATACACCCATAGAGCATCAGGGTGGCATTATGATTGGTGACCATGGGGCACATTTAATTTCTTTCTCTTGTTTTCATTCCAAATTGCATACTGTCCTCCCCTTCCCATTTTTTGTAATCCCGGATCCTCCCCCTTGGCATCTAGTATTCGAAAACCGGTTAAGAGTCGCACACAACTTGCCATCAAGCATTTGATTGAAGCACTTTATACAGTACAAATATGATTTTATCTTGTTTTTAAATATTCAATATACAAATATAAATTTTTTTTAAATCACACACCAGACATGGAAACTATTAATGTTTTACATAAGGAACATAATGAATAAAATGTGTAGCTCCATTAATCTGCTATAGAATAATATAAGATAAAAGATTTGTTATTTCTTATAAGGAACATAGGTAGTTAAAATAGAGGATAGAGTTACTAAGTACAGTATTGGAAATTCCAATGAGCTCACATATGACCAACAGTTAAGACAACTGGAGCAGTGTTGTCTACATATTTAGAAATAAGAAGCAACTGCAGTAACATTTTTTTTTACCAAGGACGTTATATCTGAAGAAGCCAACTAGTAAGTACTTACTATACAGTGTTAAATTGTAATGAATCTGTCACTGATAGAGTCAGGTGATGACACTTAAGGTTTGTATCATGGTCTGACCAAAATCATGTTTACTGGTCATCGTTTTCTTCCTCGACATCTTCATCAGATTGTTCTTCTCCCTCAGCATAATCTTCATACTGTTGGAATTCCGATATCAAATCATTCATGTTTGCTTCGGCTTCTGTGAATTCTGTTTCATCCATACCTTCTCCACAATAACTGTGAATGAATGCTTTACGTCGGAACATGGCTGAAAATTGTTCTCCTATGCGTTTGAATATTTCTTGCAGAGCTGTGTTATTTCCAATGAAGGAGGCTGCCATTGGCAAGTTTTTCGGCGGGATATCGCAGACAGCAGTTTTGATATTGTTTGGAATCCATTCTACAAAGTTGCTGCTGTTTTTACTTTGAATTTTGTAGAGTTCCTGCTCAACCTCCTTCATCGACAAACGACCGCGAAACAGTGCTGCCGCCGTCAAGTACCGTCCATGTCTTGGATCACATGCTGCCATCATATTACGAGAATCAAACATCTGCTGCGTTAACTCTGCTACACTCATGTTAGTATATTCTGTGCTCGAACGACTGATCAAGGGAGCAAATCCTGGCATAAAGAAATGCATCCGTGGAAACGGAACCATGTTTACGGCAAGTTTTCTGAGATCTGCATTAAGCTGTCCAGGGAATCGCAGACTTGCCGTGATGCCGCTCATCGACTGGGATAACAGAAGATTTAGATCACCATATGTCGGTGATGGTAGTTTCAGTGTTTGTGTGCATATGTTGTACAAGGCTTCGTTGTCAAGGCAAAATGTCATGTCAGAGTTCTCGATCAACTGATGGACTGACAGTGTGCTATTATAAGGTTCTACCACTACATTTGATACTTTGGGTGAGGGAACCACACTATAGCTTGTCAGGAGCCTATCAGGAAATTCCTCGCGAATTTTACCGAGGAGGAGCGTACCAAGTCCTGCTCCTGTCCCTCCTCCGAGGGAGTGTGTCAGCTGGAAACCTTGGAGGCAGTCGCAGTTTTCAGTTTCTTTCCGAACAACATCAAGAATCGATTCAATGAGTTCAGCACCTTCTGTATAGTATCCCTTACCCCAGTTGTTTCCAGCACCGTTCTGTCCAAATATAAAGTTGTCAGGATGAAATAGTTGGCCATACTTTCCAGATCGTGCAGCATCCATCGTGCCAGGTTCAAGATCAACGAGTATTGCGCGTGGAACATACTTGCCACCAATTGCTTCGTTGTAGAAGACGTTGATTCGCTCAAGTTGAAGGTCAGAATCGCCATTGTACGATCCATCTGGTGCTATTCCATGTTCTTCCGAAACAACCTCCCAGAACTATGGAAAAATGTACTATAATTAATCTTTCTATTTTGAAATAACAGTGGTAATCCGCCAACTTTTTAAGTTTTGAAAATAAATAGTAAAACAAATAAAGAAGATGAATTTATAGAAGAAAAAAAAATTAATGTATTCTGTCACGTCACTTTTATGATTAAGCGAACAATGAACAATCCCACCATCAATCGGCCTTTTTTAATGAATTATGGCGACTTTTTTAAGGTACTCTCCAACATTTTAACTTCGCGTGCGATCATATCGAGTGAAATTCGGATAACTACATTTAGGAAAAAAAAGTGCCGTACTAAGAAATAGTACGCGTAGTATAATAAACTTTACCATAGGCCTACACTGATAGTATAATTCGAAGACGAGTCAATTCCAAAGGGTTTAGCCTATAACGAGATATTTTAATATTATTTTAGTTTCATTTCCGATATACTATGACATTTAAATTACCGTATTGATGTTGCGGCGTTTTTTTATAGGAAATATTTCTTGTTATTTTGTTAGCTATTTAATGTTACGTTTCCATAGAAAATATATTTAAATACAATTAATCGTACAAATGTATTTCAGAATAAGCTAAACTGTATACACGAGCATGACTACCATGCTATACTCATGTTCTACCATCTATTGTCCGACCTTTGGCATCATCAGGTACTGGTTTATAATTGCACTGCACTGTCGAGAATAAGGATTTGTTATAGTTTGTAAACAGCGCCCTCTGTTAAATTTTTGTTATACAATATTTATTAATGTTGCCACCAGCAGATTTTTCTTATAAACATGGCAAAGTTCGAACGTATTTATACCTACCTTGGAGCCAATCTGATTACCGCACTGTCCGACTTGTAAATGCAAAATTTCAGGCATGTTATTGCACAATGTATAAAATGCATATACAAATAGAATGAAACCTTTTTAGCCTGTCCTAAATGTTACCTGCTACATACAAAGGTGGGTTTATGCCTACTTCCTTGGCCGTGTACCATACCTATTGTGCCTTTCCTTCCATGCTTTTGGCTATTTATACTTACTGGTTGATAGTATGAATGAGCTCATTGTTGATTGTCATATATATTTTTAGTTACTTTGGTGTCATATCGTCCAGCGTGGAAGTCCGATTCCAAATGATGACTCATTAGCGTGCTAAAATTAGCAATGACGTAATGATATGGCCAAAGTTCACTGTCTTGATAATCGAAAGCGACACTATCTTGATACGTAGCGTATACGGGGCCGGGGATGGTGGCACACAGGGGGATAATGCAGAATGAACTGAGTGTGGATTAGATCGGATGTCAAGCAGTAAGGGTCACACGCTAATTATGTTTCCTTTGCCATTGGCTTATTTAACACATCCACAACATTTAACCACAACTGGATGGCAAGTTATTCATTTCTCTGTTCCACGAACTCTGGTAAAAATACAGTTTTTTTTAACGAGGACAATATTGATGTGGGAAGAGTTTACATGGAAAACATCATGGATGAAGATCATTATAGTTAGTCAGTATGAATTTGACAAAAATGTCAAACCACGCACATTTTAATCACGGAATATTCTTGTCAATGAACTTTTTATGTAATAGGCCGCTTGTTGACACAGCAAACCTGGATAGTATTATGTTGAGCACAGCCGAGGAGCCGTGCACTTTCGAACCTTCCAATGTTCACCAACATAAGATTGGTTGAAATAATATATTAGTATTACATAATGGTTAGACCTATACTTCATGCTAATACGTTTCGCTTAACTGTACACGACGATGGTGGCTGAAGATAATAATGATAATCAAGATAATTAACACTGAAAGAAAATTAATATTAAACTGCATCCATATAAATATGCGTTTGAAGTGCTCACAAATAGTCTCTAATGCCCCGTAGTGTCGAACCGTCAGCCCTCTCACATCCCCCAGTTCCCTTCGTTTGTTATGATCCGGAAACTATGAATTCCAGTCCTCCCCTTCCCGCTGCCGTCAGACATTATTTCCAGTGTCACAGGGTTTCAGTCGCGCTTGAATTCGGTCCAGCCTAAATGTGAATTCAGCTCTTCGGGCAGCGATAACGCCCCTCCCCAGTTTAGGAATTCGACATGGAAAGTGCTGATTGCACCATGTGTGTTATAACATACACAGGGGAAGCCAAATAAGCTGGAGGGCGATTGAGGGATAACATCATATCCAATAGACCACAGAGACCTACAGGTGGCGAAGATAATATGACCCCCTCATACAACTGACTGAAACGATCACACACGGTGGAGTTAAGCTGAAAAGCTTATAGGTCGCAGCTTGGAAATCATAGTAAATAGTTGTAGATGTGTGAGCGTCTGTTTTATGAGAGTAAGTGGCTGGGGTTAAATCTGCACGTATATCCTGGTCTCCGTGGTCTAATGAATATGACACTCGCAAGAGGTTGCAGGTTCGAATCGCTGAATTTAATGAACTGAAGGGATGCTTGATACGATTATAACATCTTGTTCCTATTTGAGCACTATTATTATTAATTATCCGTTTGTTTTACATATACATATATGAATATCAAGCACATTTGCGTATACATAAATTGGCAAATGAGGAAATGGTGCTCAAATGAACAATATAGGCCTAGCATAATTTGTTCCTGTATTTTGAGGACTGTCTTCATCTATATACGTGGATCTAGCTATACATATATAAATCTAGGCTATGTATTTACGTAATTATATAGTTGTGTAACAACAGAAGCAAACACAAATCGTAGGCCTGCTTTATGAACTGGGCCCTATATGTTTAAACATTTTTAGGTTGACGTGTTTACAAATTACTTTGCGGTGAAGTCAGCAGACATTTTAAACTAAGTACTATTCAACCGTGTAATAATAATCTTTTTAACTCTTTAAAAATGTCATTGCCCTGGCCACGCCTAGTAGTTGCTGTCATTATGTTTTATTTTATGTTACACATTGAACCATGCCTAGGAGGTGCTCAAGTCAAATGGGATTACACTATATCTCCTTCATCTTTCGAGCTCAGGTCGAATGCATCGCGCAGAAGCAGAGCCCAAGGGAGCACAGAGACGATTGCTTGATTATGCCTTCAAAGTGACTCCACCTCCATCGACCTACCTTATATATACTGCTTCCTCTAATTACTCAAGGCTTGACCTAGAGTAAAATGTGGGTCCTTTTATTTGATGAGCCCCGATTTGTTTAATTACTGAGGACGTACTGGTCAGTTTTACCATTACAATCAAGCGTTTGCTGATCACAGCTTCGTCCTAAACGTTGTATACAAATTGCTTTTGACTTTGTTCGTTCATAACGATGGAGAATGATGATTAGTGAGAAGGAGAAACGGTAAGAACATTTCCCTAAAGAATTGCTGTTTTTAGGGAAAAAATGTTTTTTTCCCACTCGCTATACGTAACTCGCGTCAACACTATATAATAACTTAACCCACTTTTAACGGGCGGATGTGAACCAAAAATACCCAACAGTTGCGATTAAAAAAGGATGCCATTTATTGACATGGAAATATTTTAGCAAAAAATTAATATCATGTGCCACTGCGAGATATGCAGTGCCGAATTCGCTCTATCCATTATAGCATTATGAGAAATTGAAATTGACCTAATAACACATACACTCACGAAAGAAAAATATCAATGAACTGCAAAAGCGGATGGGTGTGTTGGGGACGACTACAACATTTAGGTTGATGGCGTTACACGTATGAACGGTGTTTTTACATTGAAAAGTAGGTTACATAGGCCTAGTTTATGTAATGCCTAGGGCTATCCCCGCCATTTGCATATATAGTAGCCAATCGTATACTTCCAGGGCCTGTAGGATACGCGTATATGCGTGTCATTTATAGCATGACGCAGTCGAGCGAGTGTAGGCACTCTTTAAAACATACCATGAGGTTTTTTCGCACACGAATCAACCATTTACAAGATTAGTCTCTTCGTCTGGCGGATGTTATATAAAATGTTCCAATTTATTGAAACAAATGCCTAACTACAATAAACTTGCGTTCTTAGTTCCCAAAATTATTTACAACACAACAATAGGTCATATGGTACCGTATACTTAAATAGTAGGCCTATTATATTGCTATGTTTTTATTGATAGGCGGATTATTTAATTGTGGTCGTTTTTTTTTTTTAAAGTTCATACATTAATTAGTGTTGGCTGGTGAACACTGTCTTATTGACCCAGATATTTCTTGATTTCTTGTTGGGAACGATTAAAGGCGAAGTGGTTGTTGCTGTAATTTTATGATTGCCGTTTCACGATAACAATATTCAATCAGTGACCTGTTTAATTATTATGCACTACTTAGCAATTAACACACCGCATAGTAAAAAAAACAAAAAAAAAACTAAGTATATACGGTACTTGTCGCTGAAAAGCCATAAAAGGCTATAAAACAGATAGGCCTACTTAGAATAACGGTGATGAATTTGAACATTATTTTGTTTTAAATGTTAACGAAAATCTTGGAAACTATAAACTACACATGAATGACTGTTCCTGTCTTTATACTGGTCTTTAAATTGTCTGATAGGCCTACCGTATTCGTTTGTAGATTTAAAAAAAAAATTGTTTTCATCTGTGTCCTATCAGAAGTTAATCATCTTCAATAGCAATTAAGTGCGGTTTTTATTTTATTTTTATGGTTTCCCAGTTTGTACCCAGACTTTGATCGAGCACAGATATTTAAGCAAAAGTACCGTTTAATGCACTAACTAATAAAGCCAGGCTTAAAGCATGAACTAATAAGACAGTGCTGCAACATAAACACAAACAGTAGATAAATTATTATGTAATGGTGTACCGAAAGTTTTGATTTTTTTTTATTGACACTCGCCATGCAACGCTTCAAGAATTTTTTTATTATTATGTTGGTACGGAAAGCGTTGCATTCTCCTAAACCTCTGTGTGATCTTCTTGTAGGAATACAGTAGTTCAAACGAAGTACAACGGTTCATTGTACTTTCTACCAGACATTATCAGTATTGACTCAACACGTATTATAGTATACACAATTGTTGGCTATATTTTAGTCAGTGGCTATTGTTACATCAGTCTTAAGCGAATTCTTAATTTTGATTGGATGGTATATTATTGACTAGGACAATAACATCCAATCAGAATCAGGAATTTGTTTAAAACTTGTGTAGCAATAGCCACTGCATTTTTTGTATGTAATTTTTAAATGCTTATGTATTATATCGTCATTATTATTAATAAGCCTAATATTTTCGTGTGAATGTTACGCTTGGAATTTGTATATTGGACACCTGTTAGCCCTACTACTATACTAAAACTGCCACCCCTGTTTGCAAAATATTCAATTTTAATTCAGGTAGTGTCAACCTGACAACAAAAAACTAGCAACTGAGGTGTATTATTCATAATCGATTTCCGGTTAAACTCTGCAGTAATTCCCCTTGTGAAATGTTTTCATATTCATTCATGAAGATTGTTTGTGTTGTTTTTTTAAACTTAATTCTGTACGGCGTAACTCCCGTGGATATGACACTTCAGCGCTCTAGTTCTTAGACACTCGAGGGGACTTGCACTGCCAACTTGACATTTGCCATCGGCTACGGAAATTCCCTATCCAATTCATTAAAAAAAGACTTCTTCGTATCCCAGTACAGAAGCCCTCTAAGGAGAGAGAGCAGTCTTCCACTGTGTTTTATCTCTTTTGATTCTGATGCGTGCCTAAGCAAGAAAACCGAAACTAAGATTTTATGTGAGAAACCACTAGCGCCTTGGTAATACCTATAGGTAATTTAATAAATAAACTCATTAACAAAAATGGATGTTGCTTCAAAAGGCCATCCTGTCCCATACAATCAAACACCGTTTCTGTTGGCCTACTAAAGTATTACAAATTTAAATTCTTTTTAACTATTGATACGGTAATGAATTATATGTATTTGTCCTTAACTGATCTAAAATCGATTCGATCGTTGTAGTGGTTATATAGGCCTTGAAAGACTGGATGGAGTTGCTTTTATTAATTACTATAGAACGCAGTCATGAAAAGGG